CTGCTCTCCAATCTGCCGAGGAAAGGCCTGCATTTCTGGGGTGGCTGGGAAGGGAGGAGGTGGTTTCTACCCGAAAGATGAATCCCACCCCTAGATCCGCCGCATCACCACCCCACTGGCTAAGGAGTCCTCCCAGCCACATGGCCACCGCCAGTCACATCCCATCCTATGGATGTCAGCAGATACCATCTTTGAGGGTAGGGAAAGTAAACGGTAATCTGACAGACTGAGAACTTTAACTTGAGCTATCAAGCATGTGCCTAAATGGACCCTAACTGATTGGACTGAATCTCATTGTTATCATTTCCTCAATTAGTAGGAAAAATTTTTAATTACATATTTTCTGCTAATAAACAAACAAAAAAGTCCCAATGCCCAGGCTCCACCTCAGAGCAATTAAACCAGAATCTCTAAGGGTGGAGCCCAAACAGCAGTAGCTTTTAAAGCTTTCCAGGTGACCGGATGGGAACCAAGGCTGAGATCATTCGTGATCTCCAGTAAACATAAATATTCAACTTCCAATCTGGAAATGAGCATCAAAAGCTTCCTCAGAAAGTTCTGTTAGCCTTTGAAACAGCAATTGCACCTTCCAGAATTTATCTCAGGAAAATAACAATGATTAATGTGGATGGGCGTTTATCGTAATATTATTTATGTATAAGATAATACATAATATCTTTATAATATCGTAAAGGAACCATAGGAAGGACTAACCGCTGGGGGTGAAGGCACCGAGTCTGCACAGAGGTTTCAGCTGGGTCTTAAAGGACGAGGGAGTGTCTGCCTGGAGGAGGTGGGGGATGGCCTGGGGAGCGGAGGCCTGCCCTGGGGTTAGGACAGGGAGGAGCTTATCGGTGTTTTTAGCCCAGACACGGGGATCCAGCTTGTCTAGAGAGTGCAAGCCAGAGACCAGAACCAGGAGGGCAACTACAGCAGTTCGGCTCCCAGATGGTAGATGGGAGCAGGGCAGGCTAGGGGCAATGCTTCTCAGACCCGTTACAAGTGCAGACCCCGCGCTGGCTGGTGTGGCTCCGTTCGCTCAGGGCACAGGCCTGGGTTGTGGGCCAGGTCCCCCAGTTAGGGGCGTGCGAGAGGCAACCCATCCAACTGATCAATGTTCCTCTCGGACTGTTTCTCTCCCTCTCTTTCTCCCTCCCTTTCCCTCTCTCTACAAAAATTAAAAATAAGAATCTCTTTTTTAAGATTTTATTTATTTATTTATTTCTAGAGAGAGGACAAGAGAGGGAGAAAGAGAGGAAGAGAAACAATGTGTGGTTGCCTCTCCTGCGCCCCCACTGGGGACCTGGCCCACAACCAAGGCATGTGCTCAGACTGGGAATTGAACCTGTGACCCTTTGGTTCGCAGCCGTGCTCAATCCACTGAGCTACACCAGCCTGGGCTAAAATCTTTTTTTTTTTTTTAGTGCAGATCCTGATTAGGTAGGTCTGGGGGTAGTGGGACCTGACATCCTGCATTTCTAACAAGCTCCTAGATGCTGCTGCTGCTGCTGCTGCTGCTGCTCCTCAACCCCACCTTGAGTGGCAAGGGCCTGGAATTAATACAAAGAAACCATTCACACTTACCCAATTTGATTCCCCGAATACCTGATAAGCACCTTCCAGGCCAGGCACTGGGAATACAAAGACCTTCCAGTGTAAAATTTAAGTGCTAACTTCAGAATAATAATATCCTCAAAACTAGGCACCTGTGAGATGATTTGGGACTTTGGAGAGTGTGAGAGAACAGGGTCAGAGCAGAGCCTAAAGCCAGGAGTTTGTTTTAGCAGGGGACATTCTCAGGAAAGCAATAATCAACAAAGTAATTCAAGCCAGAGCTCTAATTTTTGGAAACTGCAACATATGTATTATAGGTGTGTAATGACACCCTGCAGTGTGGAGAAAATTAATTAAAAAGGGCTGAAAATGATAAACTGTTACACATTACTTTCAAGTGCTTTTAGCTAAACAAATGCAAATGAGAGACTTTTTTAAACAGCTCCATACCTTCCTTCTTCAGGTAACCACAAAACAATGCAGAAAACAAATCCAGACTCCTTCCCCTCTTTCTTTCAAAGTTAACCACTGAATCAGATACAGGCCCAGATGCCAAATTATCCACATTTTTTTCTGTAACTCATGTAACATGTATCGAAATGAAACCTGAAGTGTGTTTATCTAATTCTAAGCATGTGCTGGAGAGTGGCCTTCTGGGTAGCAGTTATTAAAGCCATGCCTACAGACAACCCAGAACCTCTATGGCTTGGGCTGGTTCCCTCATATGGCGACAAAACAGGCTGGTAAGAATCTGTTTCTCCAGCGGCCCTTGACAGAAAGGGTGCACTACAGAACCAGCACAATGAGCCCCATGAGGGCGACAGGCTGTCCCTCTAGAGGAGGTGGCTCTTTGGGGCTGCCTGCTGCTCTCTGAGGAATTATAGATACAGGAGGACCGGTGCGCCCCCAACTTAGAGCACTGACACCTACAGGGAGGGATGTGGGGTAGTGTGAGCTCTGTCAAGGGCACTTTTATTACTCAGTTGGTGTCATGTGAATTTTTTGTAACAAAAATATATTCAAACATTACTTGCATAATTAAAAATAATTCTTTAAAAGCATAAACAAAGCAAACCATTCCAAAGTTCCCTCTGAATTTATCCCCTGTTCATCAAACACACCTGCCTGATTCTGTTTGCCAACAGCCCTTCCAGCAGGAAGAGAGGCACAGAGCAGCCCGGTCTGCTTGGATGTTTACAGTAACAATGAATGAAGTGCACAGTGGGGCACCATCTCTGAATACAGTCCCTCCGACTCTAGTCTCTCTTGGACAGATTGATCCCTCTTACCCTGCCACTGTGGGGGTCTTTCAGAAGTGCACCCTGGATCTCGCCAATGCTGCCCTCTGACCAAGGACAAATCTACACACCTTGGCAGGACATGACACACCCTGCACGCTCCGGCTGGCCTCCTTTTCCTGCTCTCCGTAAGAGCCACACTAAAATACAGACTTGTTCTTCTCGGTGAGCTCCGGGCGTCTGCCCATCCTGCTACTCCTCCTAGAATAGTACTTTCCTCCTCTCTGCTCCTGGAAATCTTCTGCATCCCTAGCGACTCAGCATAGCATCAGCCACTGTCCCTGATTAGTGTTCCCTGACCCCAGCTCAGTGCCAAGGGCTAGGGTCCCTGCTCTGGGCTTCTCTGTCATATAATACAGGCATACTTCATTGTATTGCACTTCACAGACACTGCATCTTTTACAAGTTGACCGGCAAAAAGATTACAACTACTTTATCACTGCTCTCTGGAACCGAACCTGCAATATCTCTGTGCCACACCTGTACAGGGGTTACACCGCAGTACAGCTGAGCACATTAACCTCGCCAGGGGTCCTTCCACATCCTCAGCACCTGGCCCTCAGCAATGCTCCATTAACATCTATTGACAAAAAGGTAGGGTCATCCCCAAAGCCCCAATACCACAAACACAAAACTGAACACCTGAATTTGCAGAACAAGTTGTGGGGAAAGTCAGTTGGCTTATCCTTCTCTGACTTCCCACTCCCTGTACCCAGAAACACCCATGCATGCTGGCCTAGGCCTGAGGTACCCTCCACACATCCCTAGCCTGGGCTGCAGTGTACCAGGTGGGAGCCGGGTGACCGGGCCTTTGTCCTTTGACCTCCTGGAAGTCAAACGAAGGAGGAAACCCAACACTGACCACCTCATCAGAGATAATTCTAAACATCTCCTTTAACCTGTTCCTGTGGTTCATGACACTGATTAATTTTCAAAGGTTGAACTCATTTTGCATTTCTGGGATACACCCAACCTGTCAATGAGGACTTATTCTTTTTATACATTGATGGATTCAGGATTCTAATATTTTACAGAGGACTTCTACATTTATATTCATGGGTGCCAATGGCCTGTAATGTTCTTATATCATCCTTATCAAATTTAGGTTATACTAACCATTTTTTCAATATTTCAAAACGTTGAAATGTTTTTCAATATTTCAGCTGTACATAAATTTTTCAATTTGTCTACAGCTGAAATTATTCCCTCGGTGATTGCTACAACTCACCAAGGAAACCAGCTAGGCCTGGAGTTTTCTTTGAGTAAATTACTAATTCAATGTCTTTAATGATTATAGACTACTTCCATTTTCTATTTCTTTTTTTTTTTTAAAGATTTTATTTATTTATCTTTAGAGAGGAAGGGAAGGAGAGAGGGAGAGAAACATCAATGTGTGATTGCCTTTCATGCGTCCCCTGCTGGGAACTGGCCTGCAGGGAACTGGCCTGCAACCCTGGGATGTGCCCTGACTGGGAATCGAACTGCGATTGTCTGGTTCACAGGCCCGCGCTCAATCCACTGCTACACCAGCCAGGGCTTATTTTCTATTTCTTATAGAATCGATTTTGAAAAATAATATTTTGCTAGGTAATTCCAAACATTTAGATTATAAAGATAACTGATACCTAGAATGCTGAACCTGAAGTGAACACTGCAAGAAATTAAGTACCTGGTGAACCATCACAGAAATAACAGCTCACAGGTGTACTGTAAGTTATAATTTATACAAGCACTGCCCATATATTACCTCATTTGAAGATCAGAGTATTAAGGGTGGCTCTGGTTACTTTTGGTGTGTTGAGTATTTGCAAAGGGTTGGATAACTTCCTATTTGGCGAGTCAGCTGATTCAGATCAACACCCTACTGCTGGCCACACTAGGAAATCTTGTGGAGGCGTGTGTAGCTATTTAATTCCTCACTTCACTCTTGGAAGTCACTTTTAATTAACAAGAGGAAGCAGCCACAAAGTGCCTTGGTAGTTTAACATTAGTGCACGCATGTGTGTGTGTGGGGGGGGGGTGGTTCTTAGCTCAGGGAAACCTTTTTCCAAGGCCAGGTTGGGGGCTGGCATGGTTACTAACATGGGTTCCACAGGACACGTGGTATGGGAAGCAGTGGACAGCTCCGGGGAAGGAAAGTACACTCACCAGGGCCTCAAAGTCCTTGCAGTCATGGCGGGCATAAGATGCGGGAAAAGGCCGCAGGGCGGAGTCCCGCTTGTAGCTCTGCAGGGCCGAGGTGAACAGACTGCACCGCAGATCAGCTGCCAGCGAGTCCCGGGCCACCGCCTCCCTGACGGCCGCCCGGCCTGCGGGCTGCATCCTGGGTCGAGGCGTGTCGACGGGGTGGGGAGGAGCTGGGGGGTTGGGGTGATGCGGTGGTTCAAGAGCTAGCACCGAGCGTGCGGTCAGTGCGGGGCTGGGTCCGGGGACAAAGGGCCACCGGGGACAGGACCTAGGGTGGAGCTAGGCAGAGGGATAAGATGACCGGAGTGAGAACGTGCTGACGAGTGTCTTCTACTTGGGTCTCGGCCAGGGCAGGGCGCTCGCTGCCCGCGGAGACAGACCGGTGGAGGAGAGGGACAGGACAGGGAGCGCGGGTCAGCACAACGTGGGGTTCAGAGGTGGACTGGGAATAATGGGGCGGGGGTCCCAGGCCTGGGGGAGGGGCTGTGACGGGATGAGGCGACCACGGCAGGGACGGGCTGAAACGCGTCCTCTGGAGGGGCCTGGGGCCGGGGGGCACACCCAGGGGGGACCGCAGGCAGAACCCCCTTCCCGCGCTGCGCGAGGCTGCGGCGCCACCAGTGCCTTCCTGTCCCGCCCCCGACCGGGCGCCGCCGAAGCCCCGGCGATCCCCTGGCTGTCCTCGGCGCCGCCTGAGTTCTCCAGCTGTGCAGGTCCCCCCACCGTGCCCTACCCGCGGGAGGAACTACGGCGTCTAGCGCGCGCCCCGGCCTACCTACCCTCTTCTTGCCTCGCTCCTGAGGCTGCTCGGCGCTCCTCCCAGCCCGGCGAGACCCCGCCCCTTCCCGCGATCGTTCCCCGCCCCGCGCAGGGTGTGCCCGCCCAACGCGATCCGCAGGGTTCCCTGCTGGCAGGTGTACCGCCGCGGCCGAGTGCCGCACGCTGCTGCGTGCCATTCTCACAGAAGCCCAGAGTAGAAACTGATCCAGGCGTCCTGTGGATCCGCCCTTGGACTTGCCTTTGTCCCAGTTCCGCGGACTGTGACTAACCTCTTCTGGGGAATCGCTACTACCTACTACCTCCCTCTTGAATAATTTCCGTCCTAAACTGGCTGCTCAGAAGGAGCCATTTATCGCTCAGGGAAACTGAGTCTCAGAGTGCTGCAGTGCGTATCCAAGGTCCCACATCCGGACCAGGTTAATCTGGTATTCATATCCAGATCTGAAAACCGAAAGACCTTTCCTCTGCCTTTCAGCCTCCAGAATTCTCTGCATTGCTTAAGTTTATGGCCTCTTAGACAAAGCCTGCCAAGCTCCTCCCTTGAGGCCCTCTCTGAAAGGGAGCCTGGGGGCCCTGACCTAACTGCAGGAGGCGAGGGACTAGACTCCCATCCCCTCTTCCAACTCACAACCCCTGCAGGGAGAAAACCCAAAAGTTTGGCCTGGTGGTCACATGGAAATCTAAGCCCAGGATCTTGCTAATACCTAGACCAAGAAGCCCCTCAATATCCTGCCCACACTGGCACACCCTATCATCTTCAAAGGGAGGAACTTCCCCTCCTTCTGCACCCAGGCTGAGCTGGCCCAGGGCTCAGAGGAAGGGTGGTCTATGCCGTTGGATTGTATGACTTTGGGAGGAAGAGGAACGCTGGACCCCAGATACCGCAAGGCTTCCCAGGCCAGGTAGTGAGTGCTGGCTGCTCCCAGGAGTCCAATTCAGACCTCTGGTTACTCTGAGGCCTGGACTGGTCCAGAAAAAGTGTCCCAGTGTACTCAAAGTCCTGGGGTCCTCATGGCACCCAGGAACTTTAACATGGCTGCTGAAGGCCAGGCCTGGAAAGGCAGAGCCTACAGCAGTGGGGCGGGAGGCCTGGGAACCCTCCCTCATTTCATCTTGTCTCCTCCATGGGCCCTCCTCATTGTTGGCCTCAAGGATTGTTGGATGAATAGTGGAAGTTGCTTTTCGAAGCATACGAATAATAGTGTGTTAATGATGGGGGCAACCAACCGGGTGCAGGGTGAACATGAACTCTACACTAGCTTCACGATTTTTCCACAAATTTAAAACTCTTCTACAACACAAAATCTATTTTAACTACATTATTGTCAAGTTGAGTTTAAGCTATCAATGCTGTGATGATTTATAATCTATGAACATAATCTTCCACATTGTTAAAGAGGAAACCACAGACTCAACATGGCATCTCTTGTGCTAAAATCCTGTGATGCCAAGCCTAGCTTTAACAGCTAACCTAACGGCAGTTTCAGCCTCTCCCAAAACTGAATGCTCTTATTTAAAATTTTTTAAAACAATTATTTATTTTTCAATGAGCAAGGAAGGGAGGGAGAAAGAGAGGGGGTGAAACATTAATGTGAGATAGAAACATCAATCGGCTGCCTTCTGCACACATCTGGACCAGGAATTGAACGTGCATCCCAGGCATGCGTCCTAAGAATCAAAATTACAATCTTGCTGTTTGCAGGATGATGCCCAGCCAACTGAGCTACACTGGCCAGGGCTAATTTTTTTTAATTGTTATTGATTTTTTTTTTGAGAGAGAGAGGTAGGAATGTTGTTCCACTTATTTATTCATTAATTGGTTGACTCTTGTGTGTGCCCTGACTGGGGATCACACGAGCTTTGTATGTGGGGACGATGCTCTAACCAATTGTTTAATTTTGGGCCAGGGCCCAAAAGTGGAATTTTAAACCAATCGGTTTGGAATTTCCTGATCCACATTAGTGGGGTAATCTGCCTGTTAAGATCCTCTGCCTTCCCCTAAGGAAGGTATCCCTGCCTGGAATAATCCACTCTCAACTTCATGGTCCTGCCTTCGTTTTGCCTATAAAAACCTTCTGTTTTGTAGACCCTTGGGAGTACCCTTCTCGTTAGTTGCTAGAGGGTATGTTTTTGATTCATCAATCACATAATAAACCCAATTCGATCTTTAAATTTACTCAGTTGAATTTTGTCTTTTAGCAACATTAATAGATTAAAAGGGAAAATTCATGATGCTCTCTCCATACCCACCTATGCTATTAAAAAATATATATGTATATTTCAAAGCAAACTTGGACTAGACTTGGGGTGGTGAACACACAACACAATATGTACATGGTGTATTATAGAATTGTACACCTGAAACCTATATAATTTTATTAACCAAGGTCACCCCAATGAATTCATTTTTTTTAAAAAAAGCAAACTAGGAATAAAATGGAACTAGCTTAATCAAGAGTTTCTACCCAAAACCTGTTGAGACCCAGTACAAAATGAAGACATAGGACCTTTGTTCAAGAATCATTAAGAATTTCATAAAGGTGATAGCAGAGCAGGGCCCCAAGGAGCACAGGACCCAGTGCAACTGGGCGTACAACCTTTCTGCACCTAAAGGGTCTGAGGATGCAACTGCGCAGACTGTTTGCCCCTGTAGCCCACCTGTCTCCAGCAAACTTACCGTGCTAATCCTCTCTTGCTTTTCTTTTTCTCCCCCTTCCATCCTTCCTCAGAGAATTTAACAGAAGAGCCACTGTACTAGTCAGGATTCTCCAGAGAAACAGAACCAGGCTGGACAACAGAACCAATAGGTTTTATACAGATATAAAGAAAGATTCAGGCCCTGGCTGGTGTAGCTCAGTGGATTGAGCACAGGCCTGCGAACCAAACAACCGTGGTTCGATTCCCAGTCAGGGCACATGCCTGGGTTGCAGGCCAGTTCCCAGCAGGGGATGCATGAGAGGCAACCATACATTGATATTTCTCTTCCTCTCTCCTTCCCTTTTCCTCTAAAGATAAATAAATAAAAATTTTAAAAAAGAAAGATTCATTATATGACTCTGGAGGCTGAAAGGTCAGTCCCACAATCTGCTGTCTCCAAACCGGAGGCCTAGGAAAGCTGGTGACATCGTTCCGGCCAAACCTGAGAACCTGAGAACCAGGGCAGACAACAGCCTAAGTTTGGTTTCCAGGCCCTGAGGCTCAGGAGCCAGGGGTGCTGGAGTCCTTGGGCAGAAGGTGAATGTCCCAGCTCGCCACAGAGAGTAAATTTACCCTTCCTTTACCTTTCGTCCTAGTGGGACCCTCCAAGGACTAGATGGTGCCCAGTGCATTGGTAAGGGTGATCTCAACTCTACTGATTCCAGTGCTAATCTCTCCCAGAAACACTCTCACAAACACACGCAGAAATAATGTTTTACCAGCTCCTTGGGCATCACTTAGTCCATCAAGTCGACATGTAATTAACCGTCACAGCCACCCTCATCTCTGAGTTTCATCCTCATAACAACCGCATGCGGGAGGCCACTCTCCGTTCTCTCCTTACCATTCTCGGACCCAGAGCACTGCTTCTGTCGTCCTGAACCGCAGGCTCGGTTTGCTCGTCTCTCCTTGCACAATAAATCCTGCCCAGCATCTCCTTCTTGGGTGGTTTCCCTCCAAAGCTGGTAGTCAGGACAAAAGGATCCGTTTAAACCCAGGGAAATGGATGCGGGGAGTGGTACAGGTCACAGATGGGGTCAGAAGTGTGGATCTGGACTGCCGTCCGTGCTGCCTTTCAGCCATAGGAATTCTTCACATCGCTTTAAGATTTTGCTTTCCAATGTCTCAAGATTTTCCTTTGGGGTCCTCTGCAGTGGGGTTGGGATGAGGGATACTTTGACCTATCTTCAGAAGAGAAAGGTCTAGCCCTGGCTGGTGTAGTCAGTGGATTGAGTGCGGGTCTGCGAACCAGACAATCGTGGTTCGATTCCCAGTCAGGGCACATGCCTGGGTTGCGGGCCGGTTCCCTGCAGGCCAGTTCCCAGCAGGGGACGCACAAAAGGCAACCATACATTGATGTTTCTCTCCCTCTCTCCTTCCCTTCCCCTCTAAAGATAAATAAAATCTTTTTTAAAAATTGTCACTTAAAAAAAAAGAGAGAGAGAAGAGAAAGGTCTAGAGTCCCACCTCTTCTCCCTCTTAAGAGAAAACCCAAAAGTCCAGTCCCTTGGTCAAGTGCAAAACCCAAGCCAGGACATTGTTGAAATTCCCTAGCTCTGCGCTGCCAATATGGTAGCTGTTAGAATGTACTGGGACTTGAAGGCCCTAAGCCACAGCCTATGCTGGAACAAAGAAAGTGTGTGTCACCGGCTAAACACCTGACCTCGAGATTCCCTACTATCAGAAGCAACTGAGGCACAGCCACGAACATCCTGCTGGAAACCGGCTGAACTCTCACTGCCCATCCCCAATCCCTGGAGCTTTTTCCCGGAGGCAAGGCCCATAAATCTCCCGGACTTTCT